AGAGGACTCTATGGAAGTCAATAAAAAATAGGCGAGATAGGTTGGTAGGACACCTTCTCAGGCATGAAGGTCTAGTCAGAGACATATTAGAGGCAGAAGCAAGAGTTAAGAGGGGTAGAGGTAGACCTAGATTAGATTACCGTTCGCAAATAGTTAAGGATGTGGGCTGTTCTAGTTTTAGGGAAATGCGAAATTTAACTCAGGATAGAAAAGAGTGGAGGTACGTGTCCAACCAGTCTTAGGACTGATGACCTTATGATGATGATGACTTTGTTTTGATGTTATCTTAATTGGAAGTTCAGAAAACTTTTAGAAAACCTCTTTACATCAGAAATTAAGCACGAGTTGGTAACAGTGTAAACGAATTAAGAATAGGCCCTAAAAGCTGCCCATTTTATTTAATTTAATCATAGCTGTAGTTTTTACGGTTTCCGAGAAAGCAATATAGGGCACACTTGAAATGGCCAAAGTGGGCATCCATCAAACATACGATTCAAAGAACACAAATGAACACCAATGACCATAATATACAATACAGAAATTACAATTACTACATACACAAAAAAAAGTAAAAAACTGATACTCGTACCTATAGAAAGCTTGAGAAAGATACCTGAAAAAAATCATGTTAATAATCAAAATGAAATCCTTGTCTTTAATACGCCTTTACTAATATCAAAATTTTAAACTCCCAAAAGTAATTAGTTACACTTGCCTCTTAGTTTAAATTAAACAGAGAACGAATAAAACAGAAAAAATATAATCTAGTGATAAAAAATTAATACATGCAGGGTAGTAATGAGGAAGTTTGTGAGCACAGAAATGACGCAGACAATTTTATTGTTTGTCTGTCTATTACTTGCTCACTGATCCTTATTTTTAAATATTTAATCTACGCCCCTGATAGGAATACTGAAGAAAGAGGGCTGCAATCTGCCTACTTTTGCCACCGCGCATCCACGCCATTTTAAAATTTCCGCCAGCTTCCAGCGTCAGGCCTGTACCACTGGTTAATGTCTTACAGAAGTTTTCTTAGACACCCTGTATGATGGAATACTCACGGTGTATAGCTTATAGAAGCCACGTTTGCTTGCGCACACGTACAGTGTCATAATTTTGAAAGGATCCACATCAGGCAATCGTAAAAGGATAATAAGCAAGCCTCTAAAAACGTCTTTTTTCATTTTTAAATTCCAGCCCTTTAAAATATCGTCTAACATATCTAAAATATCGTTATATTGCTGGTTATTCATCAGAGCCACCAATAAATCGTTATAATATTGCCAGATGTCTGTAAGAAAATTATGAACGTAATAAGGCGAAGAAAATCACAAACAACAATGTTTCAACTGGTAATTAACTTAACTACTTGGCGAGAACACAGAGAATATATCTAAAATTAACATTGTTCATCGTTACTTTTACAATTAAAGGGGTGGGGATTACAAACAGTGGGAGCTTGAAATTTTGTTTAATTCATAACAAACTTATCTACGTATCTCTCGTAAGAAGACTGCAACAACAAACTAAATATAGTCAAACAGATTGCTCTAAAGTCTAAACAAGGGCGACAAAGTAAATGTAATTAACTGGTAAGAGTTACAACTTGGATTAAACAAGAAAAATAAGCAATTTTAAGGGGCATTCTTAATTCGTTTACAGTGTTGCCAAATTTTAACAGAAGGCAGCCCAAAAAATTATAAACTCCTTGGAAATGGATAATCTAAAATATTGGATCGACATTGTTTTCTGGGTTCAATATCATGGTCTATGGAATTTTGAAGTTCCAAATTGATATCAGCCTCTGCTACATCACCACTTATCGTACCTTTAGCAAAGAACTACGAAATTCTATGAATTACGACAAAACAGCCCGCAAAACAATATCGAATTGATATACGCCAGCTGAGTAAAACTGAAAACTACAAGATATTGTGGTGTGCTAATAAATGCGTATAATCCAAAATTCTTAGAAAACGATTCGAAAAACTTCACTTATTAGATAAACCCAAAGCTAAAGAAACTATGGATTCCATTTCTTTCTCTTATTACAATTAGCA